ATTCATTAAATGTTGTGATAATATAGCGGTTCTAATGAGTTGTTTGGTCTTAAGATGAACCCAACAAATGGATCACAAAATGCGAACAAATGCCTAATATATATGATGCAAGATATCGGGTGACAGTTGTGGACGCTTCCAGTGAGTGATCAACACATTCTCGACATTCATTTGAGACATTCATTTAAGACATTAATAATTGATATACTTTTGTCACAATAGATGTAAAGCTGAGATACGAGGCGTTCGACAACTTTTGTCTCTTAGACTCACTGCAAGAATTAAATCTCTCGAAGAATAAACTAATCGATGACTTCGTGTGCGACAAAATGGGCCGACTTTTCAGAAACTCCAAAACTCTGACAGTTCTCGACTTATCTGACAATCCGCTGATAACTCATCGCGGAGTCGAGACATTGCATCGGATCAGGTCTTTGAGGAAACTGATTATTACGGGAACTAAAGCCGCGAAATACCCATTCATCGACTTATTAGTGATTCTATTCAATGACGTGAACCCTAACTGTGAAATCATTATTTAAATAATAGGAAAAAGTAGGAAAAAATAATAAAACTTTTATTTAAACAAATTTCATTGCAATACAAGACTGGATGTGATTGAAGTGCACTCATAGTTGTGGTGAACGCTCGTAGAAGAACCAGCACAAGGCGAACAACATAGCCGTCGGTCGCGACAGCTTCGCCTCCGTGTCCTCGCAATACAACAACTTCTTCGCCTCTTCTATACTCAGTCTGCAAAAGGATTTATGTATTGATTTGTTTGTCAAATGGTTAGACAATCCCACGAATCACTCACTCAATCACTTCAATGGACTCGTCTTCAACTCCGCCGCCCTTTCCTTTAGGCGTTTCGTCCCTTTTATACAGATTAACAAATAGTTAATTAATTTGCTTTATTTGGCTAACACTTGAACTCATATTTACGTGATTTCACAGTAGTATAAGTACTGCAGAGAACCCGAGTGTCCGACTCCGCTCCGGTACGACGATATGAATTTGACTGTACTTTAAGACAAAACACATTTTCAATACATTAGTGTTTAGAGTAATTGAATATTTGATGTGCAATTTACTTCAACTCTACTTTATATCCAATTTCCTCTTCAATCTCCTCTTTGGCCACTTCTTGTGGTGACTTTCCTGTGGATTAAGATTTAATGGTAAACAAGTGGACAGTATTAGGCAGTCATACCTTGTTTATCGAGAATACCGGCGCAAATTTCGATAGTGTATCCCAGGTTTGGATTGTCGAGCAATTGTTTGTTCACATTATGGATGTTGTCTTTGGAGAAGACGTTCAAATCGAGTGTATCGACACTTTTGCAGAGATAGGAGAAGAAGACGGCCGGACGGAACTGACGCACGAATAACAGTCTCTTCGATGTCCTGTTGTAGACAATGACCGCAACACTGGATATACAGACAGTATGCAAATGCCATTAATTGTCACATAATTAATGTCTATTAATTGGTGGCCAAACCTGTCGTGTATTTTGATGGCATCCCATATGAGCGGCTTTCCATTCTGTCATTAAATCATATTTAAATTCATTCATAAGTGTTATGTGATTACAAAATGTGTAACAAAAGTATGAGTTGAATATCAATCATAACTGAATCTTATTGACAATCAATGACTTATTGGATGTGATTATAAGGACAATCATTATGTGGTAAGCATTGACTAAGAAGTTTGTCTAATATTGGACTCTAATTATGGATACAAACGATAATTATTTACGAAATACCGGCTTTTATCAGCTAATGTATACATTGAAATAAATAAATGACCAAGTTCAGTTAACAGTTCTATACTGTATATACTACTGGACA